TTTCACTGTTTTCTGAACAATATCATCAGCACAAACTTCAGAAGCTTGGCATTCAGGCCAATCAGCAATCAACAAACACATTTGGAACTTTGTATAGTGTTCAAATCAAAACCTCAAAATAATGCAATCATTACAATAACTGATGAGACGATGATGATGATGATTATCTTGAGTTCTATCTCTTGAAAATATCCAATACTCTGAAGAAATATATATTCAGTTAAATCTGATCTCGACTACTTTCAAATCGATCGTTTAAATCTTGGTTTTGTTTTTAATCGTAAATCGTTGGTTCAAATTAAATAAATGTCGACGAGGCCGTGAATGTATGCCCACTTAATGAGAGATTCCACATCAGTAATGAAACAGTTTTTCCACTGTCTCCATGTTTAATTTAGATTAGTCAGTGATTTTAAGCTACCAAGTGTTCAATTATCTACCACTTTGGGATTTGAACTGACAAAATTGCGTCTCCATGTGTGCTAATGTGTTATGCCAACATGAACTTATGTACGTACATACGAAGTTCTACGATATAACTAACTGACTGATCGAATGTCAAATTCCGTACAATTTTTAGATTGCTTGATTCATCTATTACAACACTTCATCTTTAAATACACTTTTATCAACTAAAATTACACTAATCATAGAGTCATAAAATTAAAAAGTCTTGCTTGAATTTGAATACATAGGATATGTATTGTTTAATTTCCTTCTCTGTTGGGGACATTAGATCCTCAGAACTCACTTGGAATAGGTCCTAATTTTTGGATTATTTTTATGTTTCTGCGCATAAATTGCTTAGTTGACCTTCAGCTTACATTTCCCCCCTCGGAAAATCCTTGACTATCATTGGAGGGATGGATTGTTTTCGTACGCTATTATTTTGTGGCTCTCTCAAGGATTTTTTTGTTTTTTGCATTGAAATCAACCAAATAGTAATCAAAATACTACTTACAATAATTAGTAGCATAGAGTAGTAAGTTGTTTGGTCCAATGCAGATACTTTGATAATAAATAAAACTTACCTATTTAAAGTTGAAGATAAAATACACCGGACAACTGCTTCATGCACTTGACACAGATCGAACCAGGTTGTGTGTGATATGAAAGAAGTAAATCAGTTTTTATAGTCTAGTTGAAGGAGTTAATTAAGACTGATTGGTTGAATTTTTTCCTCATCAATGGTAACAAACAGTTGTACCGCTCTATCGAATTGAATCGATTAGATGTTAACATAATAATTCGAATGGGTTAGCATTTGTGTTGTAAGACGAAAATGTTTCTTTGGTCCAATTCTTGACTGTAATTGTTGAATGTGTGCATTGGTGTAGAGTTTCACACTAACCATTAGATATCTGTCAAATCTTAATCTTTGTTTCAATGATAAGTCGATTGAGATTCAATTTAAGCATTTTATTTAATTCTGCAAAACCTTCACCTAATTTATTTTTTAAACTAAATATAAATTTTGTGTGAATCCACATGGAGCCGTTCTAGGACTTACTGCCGGTCCCAAGCCCAGATAAAGGAGGAGGGTTAGGAAGACCCCATCCCATAGAAATCCAACTATCAAAAATAGAAATCCTAACCAGAAGATTGATTCACCGGTCAGGCGTAAGTAACTAAGTAAGTAAAATATTGTTGGGGACGTTAGAACCCGCAGAACTCACTTGGATAAGGGCCTGATTTTGGATTTTTTTACTTTCCCGCATGAGATTTCATTTCCCACCCGGCAAATCCTTGACTTTCATTAGTTGATATGTTATTTAAGTACATTTTTGAAAGCATGAATCGATCAATGTTAGACCACCATTAGAAACCTGGAAGCACTGTAAGACGGCAGTTTCGTCCTGGTATGGGACTTCAGCAGTGCGTATCCCGCAGCATTCGAACCCAGGACCTTCGGTATTGTGCGCGAACGCCCTAACCCTTAGACGCTATTTTTGTGACTCTCCAAAGGACGTTTCTATCATGTATAAATAAACTCGATTTATGTGCTTGTTAACCTCATATTTTCTGGGTGGTGCTCGTAGAATACACTTTCTATATCTTGTCCAGACTTCTTCCTCTACTTAGTAGGTCCTTGGAACGCTCGGATTAGAGTAGTCTATTGTATCACTGCAATCATTTATCTTCGCTGTCGTTCACTGGACTAAGGTGAACTCGTAATAGCATTCAAGCATATCAACTGTTGACGAGCATAACAAAAATTCTTTAAAATCCATCTCAATTGAATTCGTAGTCATTTTTGTTAAGTTAAACTGAATTTTTTTCTACTGAAAATTATCATTTCAATCTGTAATTTATTATAATTTAAAAAATTTATCAAACTTTGAATAAATCAATTCATTGTCCCTACGAAATATGTAAGATCCGTTTTTTGGAAGGCTTTGTTTTGTGAAAATCTCTCCATGTTGTATACATTTGTAATATGTCCTTATTGATCATTCCTCCAGTTGTGCAT